AWYCMMCYTTTTTATTCAAAATGATTTAGTGGGTGATTTTCCTAAAAATWTTGATAAAGGATTTTCATTAAAAGAATAATTAAAAATGAAAAACGGAGGTTCCTGTATGAAAAACAGAAGTTTGTACTGTCACGGGATCATCCTTAAATGGTGAAAAAATCTTAAGTATTTTAAAATAATGGTCTTCAAATGAATTTAAAAATTCCAAAATTTTGAATTTTAATATATGTATAATTCAAGCACAACAATTGGATGAGCATGCTTAAAAATAACCCTGTATAAAGGTATAAAAGAAAATATTTCGGTTAAACTTTAATAATATCTCAATTTTAATATCGGCTGTTATTAAGACCATAATATACGTGGGATGTTATGACGTTTATTTTGGTGAATTTAGACTAATGTAGTTTGCCATAGGTATCATATTATTATATCGACCGCCATATATGACGTGAATAATTTTCAGAATAAAGTAAAATATTAAACAATCATGAGTCAAATTAGCTGAATATTAATAATTCAAGTTTGTTCTAAAATAAACTTTAAAAACTAAGAAACGAACACACGAAATAATTTTTATTTAAAAAAAAAAAAAAAAACAGAAAATATTATCGATTCAAGACTCAAGTTCTTGCACAGTTTCAACAATTCCTCTGAGTATTACTTTTTAAATTTAAATAAGTAACAACAGATTACTCACTAATTTTTCAAATATATAATTTATAAAATTCAACAATAAATGTATATCATTATTCATAACTATGACATTAATATTTTTATGTTGGCGCCTACCGATTAAATTAACATTGGTGTTGGGTAGAAACGACACAAATTTAAAGCGTTACTGTAACGACGTAGCTTTTTTTTCAACGTCTACCTAAAATTAATTCAAWTCTTTTCCTAGTATATCAGTATAACGAAAAAATATAATTYATAATTGTTTATTTTTGAATTTTAAAATATAACGTGTCTCGAGTTTTCGTGACGTGAGAGTAACGAAGTTTATTTTCKTATTGATAAGTAAAGTACAATTATTATTGGATCTCGAATAAAAAAACGAATAAAGAGACTTTTACTACTTTTCGACGATAACTTGTCTCCAGCACTGAATTATTTATTATCAGTATTATTGGGTTGGAACGAAAGAGGGATGATKCGATAAATGCGACATTGGGTGTATAAGCCGCTGCGCTGCATTTACCCGGTCCGCAATATGTGAGCGTTTAAAATGTTCACCGCGAGACGAATGGACGGAGGGCTTGGGGCTTAATGTTTTTTTACTGATTTTGAACTAAAAAAATAATGCTCTACAGTCTATATAATACGTTATTATAGTCGTAATATTTTTATAATACAGTAAAAACATCTCAAATATCTACAGTACACAGTACGTATTACACTTATGTATGGATGATAGTGAATTATTATTATTTTTACGGTTAAAATCGTATAATTTATGTACTTATTTGTTACCGTAAAATTTATGAAGGCGCCATAATTCTTGGCGACTCTTAAAAGGGGGCGTGYATCCAAAAATCCTGGGAATCACTGCGGTCATAAATTAATTTAATTGCGGMACAGACATAATTATTGTGTAAGTAACGGTCCAATAGTACGATATYGACAATCGATATTGACCTACGATAGCTCCTTTCAAATGCATTTAATAATTCAGAGTATTGCTTTATTATTTTAATTAAAAGAGGCTATTTTAAACATAATACATTTTGTATTAATCTAATATTAGAATTTTTGTATCTTATTTTCTACTCCCAATGTGCTTTTTTAAATCAAAGAAATAAATATAATGTAATTCCATTCCTCCAAAATTAAAGAATTAAAAACAAAACTTTTAATTTTTAACTTTTACTTTATTCGGTGGTATTATTTTTGTAGCATTTTTTACATTTTTAGGTTTTTTTGTTACGTAACATTATAATATAATGTATACCTAACGGCTAACCATTTTATTGGAATTTTATGAATTTACTAGTTTCAAATTATAAAACATAATAACGTAATGGAATGGATGAAAGAAAATATTATCTAAAGGAGCTTGTTCAATAACATTTTCATAACAATAACTCATTCGAATCACTGTGATCAAGTTATTTCTATTCATTATAACATCAATTATATTGCCATTAACTATATGTATTGCGATAAACAATCGTGGTTCGAAGAATAGCAAAAAAATAATTAGTGAGTTTTCAGTAAAAATCGTTAAAAAAAAATTTCATGTTTAAAAATTGCTTGTAAGTAGGTATATACTACTAGGCAATTACACAAACAGACCGCCAAATTTATAATTTATGAACGAATTTTATATCTAATCATTTCGTTTAGATTAAACATTTCCTTTGGTCTTTTGCTATATAAATTCTTAAAAGTAAATTTTTTTTAAAGTTAATTTTTAATAATACACTCAATTTCGTATGAAATACGTTCCAATTACTTACACGCAAATTCACTACCTCCACCTTGCAACGTTAAAAACTAATTATATATTTATAAACCGATTTATTTTAAAAATTGCGTGTTTTTTTAATGACACCTATATATATTATAACAAAACGATTTGCATTTTTATCTGCAATCTCGATCATTATTTTACATGTAAGAAAGTTTTATTGTTATGAACTCTCTGAACAACTTTGTCTTTGCRACTCTAATCGAATATAGTTCAAGTCTAAGAGAAAAAAAAAACCCAACTAGAACCTTGCATAGTACTCAACTGCACCGAATGAAAATAACCACACTTCCTGTGTCGAATTTCGCTGCGGCGTACGATGTGCAATAATAATATGTTTTAAAAATGCACGTCGTACATATATAATATCATTGGAATCTAAATACTTACCGAACAGTACGGTGTACAGCTTCACCTGACCGGTGACGCAGAAGTAGAGACCGGCCAGAGCCAGCAAGTGGATGCTTGTGAAAAATAAACGTCGGCGTCTCGTAGAGAATACATCGTCAGCCGACAAAATCAGTTCGTCGGCGGGCGGCGGGCTAAACGGACTGCTCCTCACCCTAGGGTTCATCGACAACTCGTCTACACAACAACAGAGTTTTCCCAATTGAAAGCAAACCGCCAAAATTACGGTTTTGCCATATATATGTATATAGTATAATATGTCAGTTATAGGTACGTGCGATATATTACTATATTTTTATATTATTATTATTATTACTATACTTACGCCAAAATATTATGTATGCCCGCAAACCGTAATATTTGACTAGGCCGACGATTTCGTTGATTTTGAGAAACGCTTGACCTTTCCAACACTGCTTCTCGTTCGAATCCGACATGCTCGACCATCCGTTTGCACAACCGTTKGGCATTTTTCTCTCCTCCCTGAGGATGGTACTCGAGTCTGTGGCGTTTGGACTCATTCTGAATATCATAAGTTTACACGTTGTACTTACATAAAAGAATGYATTGAAAACTTGTTCACAACAGTATATAAATCGTATTTCAACGAAATGATTATGGTTTTATAACAATATTTTATATTTGCGACAAATTATCTTACTTAATTATATACATATATAATTATATATATTATCAGGCGTATACGCGTATTATAATACCTTGTTGTTGATATTGATTTATATGTTGTTGATGTGCAAATAATGTTACTTATACATTCTCTTCACTCTCGACACAATATAAACGGTTATGATCTGAAAAAAAACCAAACAAAACACGTTTTATTTTATTTATTTAAAATAGTTTAATTACAATCTACACGAACAAGGTATAATGAGTAAGTGTGGTGACATAAAATAACATTAATTATAGAATAGGAAAGAGGCGCCTGATCAGAAATAAAAAAATACGTTTTTTTTAAACTATATACAAAATAATATTGTAATAATAKGGACTATAAACGCATAATATAATTGTAATAACAGATATTTTTTGGAAAACGTCCAATTTCAAACACAAAAACATTTCGTTTGTTTGCAATAATCCGTGATCTACATACTACCGCACATGGCCACACAACGAGAGTTATTATTATTATGAAAATATAAAATATATTATAATAT